TTACCAGCTGGATGAATTATTCAAACACGTCACATCCATCAGATCTTGACGTGGACAGGAAAACTATAAGTCTATCGCTCTCATTGACATTCAGCAAAGCAATATTACTTATATTTTATATGCTACATTAGATTTAAACAATAAATGCGTATATGGACTCGCTGATTCAAATGACAAACAACAAAGGTCGGATGGACGTAATTTCGGACGAACAAGGGAACCACTACATGCACTTTCCATATTTGTCACATGCAGTGCCGGACTAAGGCCATAAGCACTGAAAATATTATGGTCCCACCCCTATGTGAAACTTAAAAAGATATTAGAAGCTAAAAGTGTGGGAAATTAATAGTGTTACCATCATTCCAAATCAAAATACTTTTACATGCAGATCGAAATCGTCATATATAATATATAATTCATTCAACTTTATCAACAATTAATTTGAATTATTTTATGGTGCCACTCTTGGGCTGGTGCCTTAAGCACGTACTGTGTACTTAATGGGTAATCCGGCACTATGGGCTGGCAGGAAGGAGGACTAGAAAAACGTACTAATTGCGCTGAGAAAAACTCCGGCTAAAATAGCACGCAGGTTCTAGAAACATTGCCTGGTGTTACGCGCATTTTCCCTTGACCATTCTTTCATTAAATATGTTATCTGTGTCCTTATTTGCAGAGCAGATAATAAAGGTTTCAGTGAGTGCCTAGGCTTGAAAATACATGTAATTTTCTTACCTTCACCTATGTGAAAAACCTAAACGATTCACAAAAAGGAGCTACAAATGGGGAAAAGAAGATCAAACGTAGTATTATATATATATATATATATATATATATATATATATATATATATATATATATATATATATAGTGTTATGTCGTAACAGCAAGTTTTTTTAAAAAAATAATCAAAGGTATGGTGACTTGCGTAAAGGCATGTTATCTGTATAGCAAAAGTAAAAGAATGAAAACCATATGAAACAGTGCTTATTAAGAGTACAAAACGCGCGCGCGTGTGTGTGTATGTGTGTGTGTTCTCTCACTCTGACTTCTGAATGCTGAGCGCCTAGCGAGACAGCTGTTAGTACCATTTTTAGAAATCTTTGGTACGACTCGATCGATGTTTCCGTGTCAGAGATAAGAAAACTCTAATGCAAAATTCTATCCTGGATATTGAGATGTACTATTACCTGAACAGTTGGCGCAGAATAAGTCGCGTTGATCTTTCCTGTAATCGAGTACATTATTATCGACTTGCGCATCCAAATCACCACACAGTGGTGCAGATGATGATACTTATAATAACCTGACATGCATTATATATGAGGGTAACAATATCGTTGATAAGGATATAGTCAATATCGACGATGTTGATATGGGGAAGGTACTCCCCTGGACAGACAGGAGTTAAATCACTGTGCCGAAAATTCATTGGAACTGTTATTTAGAAAGAGGTTTTCAAGCAGGTATATGAAGAAATGAGAAAGGCAGTGAAAACTTTATATTGGTATAGGACAACTACGGATTCCCATAGTTTTGCAAGTATAACCAACTTCAGAATCGGTGATACGATTAATAAGCATTATTCCACACACACACACACACACACACACACACAACTCATACATACACACACACATATGTTGCAAACCTCTTTCTAAATAACAGTTCCAATAAAGTATAACCAACTTCAGAATCGGTGATACGATTAATAAGCATTATTCCACACACACACACACACACACACACACACACACACACACACACACACACATAACTCAAACATACACACACATATATTGCAAACCTCTTTCTAAAAAACAGATCCAATAAAGTATAACCAACTTCAGAATCGGTGATACGATTAATAAGCTTTATTCCACCTACACACACACACATATGTTGCAAACCTCTTTCTAAATAACAGCTCCAATAAATTTTCGCTATGTTTTTGTAGACTTCGATAAAGTCAGGTTTTCCATTGTATTATTGATTCTGAATATTCAAGTGCATTCAGTACTCAGAGCTTTGTTCATTTGCTCATACCGTGGTTGCTTCTTGGTTGAAACCCGATCACATTCTTTGTTCATATCTTTTTATCTATCCTCAGTGCCTATACTGATTCACAAATACTCTCCAATAATTTTTTTTAAAAAATGCCTTGAATGCAGTGTTCATCTGATATATATATATATATATATATATATATATATATATATATATATATATATATATATATATATATATATATATATATACATATATATATGTCTCCTTCGCTAGTCCTTAATCAAGAAGAAGCCGAGTGACCGAGGGGAGCATCACCAGCCCACGGAAATTTATGGGTAATGATTCCCCCATTCTCACTTTGATTAAGCCGAGATTCGAACTCAAGCGGGCAAACGTGATGTATTTGAGTGGTCCGTAAAGGCGAAGGCCATAAACCACTCGGCCCCTTAGATGTTGTCCTTGCAAATGGAGTCACACTATATTTTCAAATGGTGTTTAAAGAATAATTTCATCTCGATGACTCCGGAAGTACTATCCTTATAATACATGTTAATATACTTCCGTCTCGGACCGCTGATTAGCATTCTTTCTGTAGGATTGGACTTTTAAAAAATATTTTGAATATCATTGCTTAATTTGGCAATTATATTTTTCCGCATCCCCACCTCTCTACCCACCTAGAATATATATATATATATATATATATATATATATATATATATATATATATATATATATATATATATATATATATATATATATATATATATATATATATATATATATATATATATATATATACCTCGCATATGCTAACATTTTCTTACTACAGTACTATGATTTCAATGACTGTGGAATATGGATAACAATTTAAATTAACTTTTTACACGAAAATATACTATTCTTTTATCATTGGGTTACAAATCCTAATTCTTACTATCATTGAGTCTTCTGTTTTCCCATCCGGTTCAAATCACGTGTAGAAGATTAACAAATGCATAAAAACCGAGTTCCTCTAGTATTTTAGGCACGAGCTCGACGATGTTCAGGCCAAAGCAGTGTAGTTGATTCAAAGCTGGCTATCGCTTTGCTATCGATTTGAATAGTCGTCTTTGAAATGGGAATCTAAAATGGACATTTAAAATTCCCCGCCGCGTAATAGCATGTTTTATTGAAAAGAACTATCCACGTATGGCCGATACCTTGTTACCTATCGTAGTCGGTTTAAAGCACATTTCGTCGTGGAACAAAAGGTATAGCTTTATCGGGCTATAGGTTCGTCAACCAATTAAAGAAAGATAAATGGTCTTTTTGCTTCTGTTGTAAATTAGAAGCAATTAAAACAAAAGGAATTTCTTTGTTGTGAGATAAAAATGAGGTGTTTAAACACTTTAAAATGTATCATGTTGGTTTCGTGCTAGGGACTTTTATTAAATTTCATGCGTTGGTGATATGATATGGGATATTGTTGCCATCGATCACTCGAATGTATTTCCAAACAAAAATACAAACTGTTAATCCTTTCAAAATTCAATAGCAATTTGCCTACTGGAGTGTAATGGGAACAGATCAAACGAAACACAGATTCGAGGGACTCCATCATTTAAGTTAATTAGCCCTATCTGGTACATTTTTGGGCTGGGGTCTTCTTGGTTTACCTGCCATTAGTTTCCCATAATTGATCTATAATTGAATATTGTAGTGTTTTTAATATGATTAGAGGGTAATTAAGCGTAAATCGCAGCTACGTTTTCTATCGTGTAACCATTTCCCCAGGGGACTAAACATGGGGTTAGGTTTTTCACTACATCAGTAGCATAAATTCCTTAAAAGACGTGCCTTAGAGAGTTTATCTACTATATATCGCGCGTTACATTAGCTGGTTTGTTTTTGTAACGGCAAGGTTAAAATTTTTATTCACCTCTAGGCGAGCCATGTCGCCAGCAGAGATAAACATATTGTCATTGTGTTTTATTAAGTTTTTATTAATCATTAGTAACCGTGAGAAGTAGGAGAGAGAGAGAGAGAGAGAGAGAGAGAGAGAGAGAGAGAGAGAGAGAGAGAGAGAGAGAGAGAGAGAGAAGGCGGACGCTGACCTGTCACCAACAGAGATTTGGAAATTTTTGCCGGCAGTTTTACTTTTATCAGTCAACCGATCCTTTGATGATTAGATTTCGCATAAATATTGTAATTCTATCTCTAAGAGAAAGTGTATCATTCAAATGTCAGGTTCAATTTCACTTTGTTTATGTAACCGAATAAATATAACAATGTGGAGGGGGTATCATATGCATGCATGCATGCATACATACATACATACATACATACATACATACATACATACATACATACATACATACATACATACATACATACATACATACATACATTCATACATACATACATACATACATACATACATACATACATACATACATACACACACACACACACACACACACACATACATACATACATACATACATACATACATACATACATACATACATACATACATACATACATACATACACACGACTCGAAATTAATTCTTGTCCGCTAATCCACGATCAGTTAATGCCGATTGGTCACAAAAATCAAAGCCCCCACAATTCCGTGGATTTTTAATATATGAAGTAACGTTGTCTAAAATACAACAGTTACCAATTCCGCCGCTATGTATCGTAAGTCAGCACGTGGATTTGTCGGATTAAGGATGTTAGGACATGTCGTTTTATGGTTAACTGATATGTTTATTATATTAACTGTGTACCCACGAAGACTCTGTACTTGACAGTGTGACAAGAACGCCAGCGATAAAAATGACTATTGGTCCTTCGACGCATCAAATAAGTGCGCTGACTGTCAAAACAGTCGGCACGCACGCCGACCTATCGTAAATAACAGGTGTTAATTTTAGAGCATTGTATAAAACGTTCAGTACATTGTTATCTGACGGCGGAAGAGTTCCTAAGGTTATTGCAACCGCTCCGGTGGCCTAGTGTTTAGAGCGTCCGCCTAGGATGCGAGAGGTCGTGGGTTCGAATCCCGGCCGAATCATACCAAAGACTTTTAAAATTGATACAGCCCTCCTCGCTTGGCGCTCAGCATTAAGAGGTCAGTGTTAGAACTGGTCTGCCTGATGTTAGGATAACGTGACTGGGTGGGACATCAGTACATGTCTGCGGCATGATGCCCCAGTGCTAGGAAATAGGTTCATCACTATAATCTGCTACACTGCAGACATGGTAGCGATATGGCTAATAAATTGTTAAAAAGTCTGAATCGCACACACACAAGTTCTTGCTTCGGCGTTAAACCGGCTATAAGTCAAAAAATAGATGCTGGCGAGAGCGTGATCGTCAATATTATCTAGAAAAGAGAGTCAAAAAGTAGGAGAACTCTTAGGAAAAAGAATGAAATGCCAGGAAAAGACTGTTGTGCACTCTCAAGTTTGAAATACATACATACATGTATGCATACGTACATACACATAAATACATACATGCATGCATGCAGACATACATACATACATACATACATACACACACACAATGCATGCCAATAGAATTTAAGTTTTGTGGCTATTCTAGAACGTCTTGCGAATATTGGCAATATTATTTAATATATTCACAACCCTTATGTTTCAAATATTGACCATGTGGGAAATGTTGGCAAAATTGTTGGAATCAATCGAAATAGCATTCTGAATATTATCAAAAGTATTGAGAAATTTCCAAAAACAATTATGTTCGTCTGAATCAGCTTGGCATAAATTCAGTAGGATTCTAATTCTGTTGTGTGATCAATGCAGATAACGGGGAAACATTCTCTTGCCACTTTCACTTTAATTATGTTTATCAGAAAATCTCTTGCTGGAAAAACTCGTGTACAAGTTTGACTTAGGTGCTTGTACTATTCCGATAGCACACAATTGAGTCAAAATTCACGTGAGGATACGAGAATTGTACTTTATCATTAACCTTTTATGCAGCTAGTTGTTACTAAATACATAATACCCATATCAAATATGTTTTGAAGTCCACAATACACGTAAAATAAATGACCTTACACCGGCTATGATAAGGATTCTTTTCATCCTGAACTTAAAAGGGTTTGTCTTTCAAATTATCTGTGAATGTTTAAACTTTAGTCAAATTTTTGACTGATAAGTTTACTATACTCAGCTTCTAACACTACCTATGATGTTTATAGGTGTGTATTTTTACGGTAATGATTTTGTAGAAATAAAAGTCATTTATCTAACAATTTAGAATCTGTTAAAAAAAAGGTAAGATGCAACCGACACGTCTAAATGCGCTAATTAAATCTGCATCATCACCGGTGCATTTTAATCCTCTCTCTCTCTCTCTCTCTCTCTCTCTCTCTCTCTCTCTCTCTCTCTCTCTCTCTCTCTCTCTCTCTCTCTCTCTCTCTCTCTCTCTCTCTCTCTGCGCTAATTAAATCTGCATCATCACCGGTGCATTTTAATTCTCTCTCTCTCTCTCTCTCTCTCTCTCTCTCTCTCTCTCTCTCTCTCTCTCTCTCTCTCTCTCTCTCTCTCTCTCTCTCTCTCTCTCTCTCTCTCTCTCTCTCTCTATCACCGGTGCATTTTAATTCTCTCTCTCTCTCTCTCTCTCTCTCTCTCTCTCTCTCTCTCTCTCTCTCTCTCTCTCTCTCTCTCTCTCTCTCTCTCTCTCTCTCTCTCTTGATGCATGATCCTAAGTTAAAGTTCGATTTTCGTGTTTTGTCTGTCTACCGTACCCTTGCCAGTTCGACTTCTAACACGCTAAGTAACGAGGCCACGTTACCGGTGATTTGGAACAAAGTCTGTGTGGCAGAAATACAAAGACTCTTCGTGGACACGGGAGGTATTTACTCAGATTTAGCAAAACAAATATAATTTTGCAATTTTCATCGGTGTGAAATAGAAATTATACACCTTAGTTATCAATTATGATGAAAGGTATGTAGACTGTTGCCCCATTTTTTTTTTTTTTTTAATTCTGAGTTTTATTTATTGCTACCAGATCCCTTGGATCCGGATCCTTTGCTGCCAGGTGCGGTAAGGTAATTGGTGTAATCTAAACTAGTCGTGAAAGAACTAAAGTCAGGATATCCCGCTTGTTTAAAATATAGAAAGTAACTGCTATTTTATATTCAGTCTAATTTTGCAAATAAATAAATAAACCATGACCACAGTTTTATTTTATCTCAACAAATACACTTTAGGTCTTGCATCTGGAAGTACTGCACTTATGTCAAACGTTTGAAATATTTTAATCATCATTCAGAAATCTATTGAATCACAACCTAACTTTGTGCTATCATTTATGTTTTGAAATGGTTTTAAACGAGTTGAGTTTGATTCAAAACTCAGCAAATAAATTATAATGCTGTATGGGAAATATAACCATTTGCTTTTGTATAAAATATGAGTGGTTTATTGTGATGGACAATGTGATTCGTTTTGAAAGTAACAATGCATTCATTTGTATGAAAAGGCGGTGAAGATTTATGATCTCCCCGACTCTTTAAGTTTTTGGTTATCGCTAACTAGGAGACTATTAACATCACGATGTTAATGTCCTGATCGAGTAAACAATAAAATCAAATAGGAAACTAAGGACGAAATAGCAAAAGTCTGAGCAGAGATATTGAATTGAACAACACAAGCAAAATCTAAAATTGTAATAAATTATACAAACAAATGAAATCGAACATGACTTTTGAATGATTCATTTTCCCTCAGAAATAGTTTCAAAATTAACCTATCTGTTATACCGATAGAATAAATTATATATGATCGAGTGACTAATCAAATACATATTGTCGGCATGACAGCATAGCCTCCACGTACGTACAGTCTTTTCCAAATCACTTCCGGTGATCAATCGGCGTCTCTCTCTCTCTCTCTCTCTCTCTCTCTCTCTCTCTCTCTCTCTCTCTCTCTCTCTCTCTCTCTCTCTCTCTCTCTCTCTCTCTCTCTCGCCTCATCGGGTCCTCAACCTCATTTTCACAGACTTTGCTCTTTCCCCCACTTTGCAACCTAATGGTGCTATCCCCTTTAAAATATAAAAACTAATACCGAGCCTAACTAGACCCCAGATTCGTCATTCGCCTGTGATCAACACATATCCCCACTCGCTTGCGATATCGATATGGTCTATCGAAATTCAGCTGAACTAACTACTAATATTCCCAACCTATTATTGATACACAATAAAGTTATCACAAATCTGTGTCTTGTTAACGGCTACCGCATTCCAACCGATCATGACATAATTAGACCTCTTTAAATAAACCATCACATCCCCCTATAGCTAAAATATTACCAACTGAATAATATTAATAGGCACACGTTATTTGATTCTAACCTGAAGAGAATCCATAACCTAACTCCATACACGAACTAATGGCCTCACTCCTTGTCCTAAATATGTTATTTTGCTAATTAGCGATTCATTGACTTAAATTTCCAAACACAAGCAAAATCCATTCTCAGCATACCTTATACAATGCATAATTAATTTAGGACAGACAAGATACTCCTCACAATTTGTGTCTGAAGAAATACATGAAATCTTATGCCACATGATTTCTATTGCATTCAATAAAACTGAATCAGAACTTATCCATATAACGAAATATTGAATGATATTCTTACGATACATCAACCATATATGTTGTGCGGTTATTGAGTTCAAGGAAAACTGAATTATGAATTTGAATCAGATAAATTCAACAATAATTACAGCCTTACATCAATGAGACTAACATTGTGACTCATTCGAGATATATAGATGAATCTGCTTCTTTCAGAGTCCTCAACTTTCTGACACTAGTCCACATTACGATTTATTTAAGAGAAAAGCTATTGGCTATATTTCCTCGAAGTCAACTTCTTGGCGTCCCTCAAAAATTTAGACTAATTAATTTTAGGGGGGGGGGGCTATTATATAATCGTGAATTCCATCAGGAAACCCCCTCTCCTTTAACTTAACCAATCAGAATTTCTACTTTTACCCACCAAATTCTTTACCATTCCCCAAGACGTCAGTAAAATCCTCTCTTGTTCGACTTTATTAACAACTCTCCTGGAAAATATTATTGTATGGCATCTGTTTCAAATGAACTACAACTTCTTATAATTTTCACTGGTCCATATTAACTTTGGACGCTTCACTGCTATGACCTAGTGTTAATATTGCACTCGTCTGTTCCCAACTCTTAAACTGCCGAGTCCTAATTAAAATTCAATTCATGTCACAAACAGAAAATGTTGTTTGTTGCATGCTATCAAGTTTGTCGGCAGACTAACACATAAGTCAGTTTCAATGTCTGTATATCACGCTGACCACGGAAGAAAAATCATTTTCAAAATTATATAACAGACATTATTCTACAATATTTGCACCATAACGATTAACATTCTGGAAATTTATCGATACATTTAAATCCTATGTCCTGGTACCTCTCCTCGAGACGCTGATGATTTACTAGTCAAATGTGTATTCATACCCCTACATGACAGGGTAATAATCAAAATTTTTGAAGTGTTCTCACAATGTTCTCGTACCTCCCAATGACTATAATTTAAAAGGTGTTTAGTGGTTTCGTGGTTTTCTCAACCGGGACACTATTTGGTGAACAAATAATAGGAAGTGGTCTCGTACACCCATTCATAGTACTTATTCGTCCTCTCTGAAACCAGATGAACTGAATAATATATAGCTCAGTATCTTTAAATGCAATATTTACAAAAAAATATCACATTAGTATTTGACAATTTTGTAAAGTCTTCTCGCGCTAGAAGTTTTAATTTTGATTTCATTGTTCTCATTTCCGAACATGAGGCGTTTCGTTTCGATAGGTTTTAACGTACAAACATATTAATCGCTAGCTTCAATAAGCATTTTCCGGGTATTTTTTTATTTTAGTTTTCACGTATCTCCTATAAATGACTACACCAAATATCGCTCGTACGCTTTCCATATTCTGTAATACTCGTTAGCTATACCATAAAAGGTTCAATCAGTGGAGTCAAGACAATCAAGATGTAAATAGATATGGAATTCAAGTGAATATTCACTAACCGCTCAGGTGGCTTAGTGGTTAGAGCGTCCGCCTCGGATGCGGGAGGTCGTGGGTTCGATACCCGGTCGAGTGATACCAAAGACTTAAAAAAATGGTACTAACAGTTGCCTCGCTTTACGCTCAGCATTAAGAGGTTAGTGTTAGGACTGGTCGGCCTGGTGTCAGGATAATGTGACTGGATGGGACATCACTATAAACTGCCATACTGCAGACATCGTAGCGATATGACTGAAAAATTGTTAAAGGTACGTTAAAAATTATAAACACAGAAACACATTGAATATTCACCTTACTAACGGTCTAAGTAAACGACAACTCCATCAGATGTACTAATTACCCAACTGGATAAACACATGGTTGTTACATAGATCTACAGGACTAGGGAATATGATCCTTTGAAACATCGGGAGGGCGCGATTGTTGTGGATGGAACAGAATATATTTGTCTGGAAAGGACGGTGTGGAGCTCTCTGTGCCCCAGTGCTTGGGCGTAGACACCCTAGAGCTTGGGTGTTATCGGATCGTTTGACCAGTTGACCGTTGACACTTAATGATGTGGATTGCATGGAAAGAATGCGCCAAGACCAGCCGCACAGAAAGGTAATGCCCTGAAAGCCGCCCCCTGGGATAGAAAAGGGGTGGGGGATAGCTTATTTTTATTTGATTGTTGATGGGGTCCCATATACTGCCATCTCAGGGGGGGGGGTGTTCTTCGAAGGGCTTTAAACAGTCGTAAAGCATCCAGGTGCAAATGCAACGTTAAACACTATTAAGTCAAGTCAAGGCGGTGTGAATGGGGGTATGTAGTTGGGTGAGTGGAATAAATGATGGTCACTGATAAGATATTTTCATCTCTTTTGTCACAAATTAGATTAGCATAGTGCTGAGTCGTCAGATTTTGTGATCAAATATCAAAGTCAATTTATTTCTGTGATAAGTGGATGACCTACAATGACATTAAGTATATGTAATGGATGATGCAGATAAAAAGCATTGGTACAGCAATTGCAAAAATTGCGGCGTGTGTGTTGTAGAGAGCAGGGCATAAGTTCAGTATGAAATGGACGTCCAGGTACGTCCAGGTACGCGAATAAGTGATTGGTTGATAAATTGATTGATCTTTCACTGACTGATTGATTGATTTATTGAGTGATCAGTGCATTCATTCCTCAATCAATCAATATTTATTTTCCTTTCTTTCAATAAATAAAATAGTTTAAGATTTTACAAGACAGCGTTTAACTGTGAGGTCTTCCAAGACATTTATAAAGCACGAGAAGAGAATGCGATAAGTACGATATGTATTCTCAACTGAAAAAACACAACGTTTCTTCGGCTATAAATTCTCAATAAAATATACATCTCTCACATTAAACTTTTGAATGTAACCAGAAACCCCAGAAACAGCAAAATGGCAAACAGTTTTAATGTTCTTGCGACATAGAGTTCAAATCGGGACAATTTACGTCCATATGGCAGACATAAAGAAACGATTAGCTGCTACTCGTCGCTTTGATCAAACTCTGGCAACGCTCAGATAAAATATAATGGAAAAAAAAGTTACCGGTATGGGATGAAAAGGCAGACATAAAGGAGAATCAGTTGATGACTTTATGTATGGCGCCAGCGTGACCCAACATCACGACGGATACCAAATGCATGTGTCATATATGGCGGTCAAGGTCAAAGCCCACATTAATTACTATTTCTTTCGTAGAAAGAATTAGGTCAATTAGTTAGCATGAAAAGATTAAATAAAACAATATTTTATGTATTAACAAATATTTATAAATTATGAAGAAATCACCTTTTTGGAATTGAAGTGGAAGTTAAAGGTATAAAGTGAAATAAAAGTTAAATTTTAACGATATCAAAATTAAACGCAATCTGAATATTGAAGAAAGATTCAATAAAAATTGGCTCTTTTAATAGAAAAACGAAAACAAAATAACACGTTGGCAATGATCAGTTTAAGAAAAAGCTTAAAAGAACCTTTTAGGACACACGGTACTAATTGTATTGAAAAATGGGAACCACCCTAGAAATATGAGAACATTAAATAGAGTACATACCGGTTTGGGTGACCAGGCTTGTTCATCTCTATATCCAACCTCTACTTGTGTTTGGAAATTTAAGTCAATGAATCGCTAATTAGCAAAATAACATATTTAGGACAAGGAGTGAGACCATTAGTTCGTGTATGGAGTTAAGTTATGGATTCTCTTCAGGTTAGAATCAAATAACGTGTGCCTTTTGACATTATAATAATGTAAGTTATGTTTTAGGAAAAAAATCTGTTGAGACCTTATCCTAGATGAAAGTGAATAAAAATAGAGGCATTGTTTTATTGATGGAATTTCGTTCCTTTAAATGTCTTGAGTTTGGAACACTCATTGCTAAAATTAGCACCTGACTCTTTGGTTCGGAATTGAAAGCACATGTTTCAAACATATGCAGGTCCAGAAAATACCGCGGCTCATATCCTTTCCTCTGCACAGAAGCTGACTTCCAGGTCTCATCTATACTGATAAATATAAGCTTGGTCATGAGCGCTCCAAAATTTTAAGTTATTGAATATTTTAATATCTTGATGTTTGCACAGATTTACTATGGGAACAGAATTAGTACCCTGATTCCTTTACATGCTTTTCAATTTTGTATTTTAGGTCTTAAATTACAAATTTAGTTTGATATTAGGTATAAAAGTATATACGGGAAATGAGCACAAATGCTTAGAAATAAACAGTTAAATTTGGTCTGTATGTTTCATTTACTGTAGCAACGTCTAATCAAGTTTTCCATGTGTGTAATTCTCCCCATTTTGTACAGTTGCAAACAACTGAAGAACTCTTAATTCTCTTTATTACATTTAACATATTTTCTGTATGTATTCGCCCACATGTATGGTTCAAACAATTTCATGTTTGCACTTTTCTTTGTTCGTTGCAATTTCATTCCAATAGGATATGCATCTTGTTTATGTTGTATCTACATCACAAAGCTCTGTATGTACAACTTCTACTTGTACAAAGAGGTCTTGGCTTGTTCATCTCTATATCCAACCTCTACTTGTACAAAGAGGTCGTGGCTTATTCATCTCTATATCCAACCTCTACTTGTGCAAAGAGGTCGTGGCTTATTCATCTCTATATCCAACCTCTACTTGTACAAAGAGGTCTTGGCTTGTTTACCTCTATATCCAACCTCTACTTGTGCAAAGAGGTATTGGCTTGTTCATCTGTATACCCAACCTCTACTTGCACAAAGAGTTTTTGGCTTATTCGTCTCTATACCCAACCTCTGAATGTACAAAGAGTTCTTGACTTGTTCATCTCTATATCCAAGATCTACTTGTGCAAATAAGTATTGACTTGTTCATTTATGGTCAGTATAAAAAGAAAAATATAGAAAATAAACGATTTTTAAGAATTCGACATTATGTTGTTACAATTTCATGCAAGTGAATCAATGTTTTAGGAAATATTTTTTATTTTTTCAATCGCCTATTTTTTAAAATGGGAACGTATACATACATACATACATACATACATACATACATACATACATACATACATACATACATACATACATACATGCATACATGCATACATGCATACATACATACTTGGCTGTTCATGGCTTTTTGGCTGTACATCACCTCTTGGCTGTACATAGCCGTTTAATTCTTGTTTTTCTTTATGTGTTAAATAATCTTCGCTCTGCAGATGGAAGCTGTTCCGTTTTATTTTGTTTGTGATAATAATATATTAAGATTTATATTTCTTTTTATGTGCTGACCAAATTCTTAACTGATTAGTTGTTTCCACTTCTCTTTAATCTGTTATATGTTTTTGCAGTCTGACGATAGTTATCGGTTATATTGCATTTTTATGTTGTCTTTCTTCTGTTTCAAGTTATTGAGGTACCAAAGCTTCGGGACAAACGGGACTACCGGAAATAAGGAGGTTCTCGAGGGATTCCTGGCAGACCGAGAATGGAGTGTCATGCTTGGTGGTACCTTGGCCATTCGATGAGAGCCTTGGAACCGAAAATACTTTGTCCCTTGTTAAATCAACAATTCAAAATCACCGTATGAGTGACAATCAATAATAAATATATCCTGCTTTTGCATGCAACACTATCCCATTCATATTTTTTAAATAATTTCTTTAACTTGATCACCTTGGGTGACAGAATCTTACCTCGTTCTTGGTTATAAATTCTATACTTTGATATACTTGATGATAGATAGATCACGCATTATTCGTATCTCTTTAAATTCTGTACATTGATCATCCGTGTTGATAGATAGATAGACCCATATATCAATCATGTTTGTTAAACGTTCCATACGTAGATTCTTGTTTGATTACTCGTTTAAGTCACACGCTCTTATAAGCTACAGTGAGTAAAGATATCATGTAGTTAATCAATTATTAACTCTGTTAAATTTATCTTATTTGGACCTTGTGCGGATGAGCGTGGTGCCAGTTTCATTCGTCATTTAATTGCATTTTAAACATTATCTCATTAACAAAATTCTTTCAGGGTCTTCACTAAATAAACACCTTGCCCAGTATTATCTTGCTATTATCTAAGACGTTAATTTGTCTTTGTTCTGATGTCTGTCCTGGCTGCGAAACTAAAGCTTGCTAACTGGCATAAATTATCACATGGGCCGTCAAGCTCGTCATAATGCGTGATTTTGAACCTGAGCCTGTCTTATCTTTCATTATTTAAAACCTCACCTTCACTGGCGGTATTCGTAATTTAATTTATCATATTAATTTAATATCGCACTAATTCACCCGCTTATACTACACAAAGTAGTCAAAACATCCCATAATCATTTAGTTCCTGCAATTATTACAGTTCAGTTTAAAAAGAAGCATTGTGAACTACCCTTGTCTATGTATTCACTATGCTCCTCAACCCGATCGCACCCCCGAGATCATTTGTGTGTTTGGTTTTCAATAGTGAACAAACTGATTTACTTATGAGAGTTTTCAAAGTTGTGATTTATTCAGCAGAATAACTTTGTTAAATGTTGGGAGTATTTGATGAAAGATAACGACAACAAAATCAAGTACAGCTGCATTCAGTGAATCCAAATTTGAGTTAGGAGCGTGCATTCAGGTTGAGGGTCTAATGAATATGCAGTCCGACGAATATCCATTTTATGAATATGCCGTCTAATGAATACGGAGCCGATGAATACAAAGTCTGATGAAGACGCAGAGTGATGAAGACGGAGCCTGATAAGTACGAAGTCTGATGAAAACGGAGCCTGATAAAGAGTGAGGAATACGGAGTCTGATGAATACGGAGCTTGATGAATAGAGTCTGAGGAATACGGAGCCTAATGAATACGGAGCTTGATGAATAGTATCTGAGGAATACGGAGTCTGATGAATACGGAGCTTGATGAATAGAGTCTGAGGAATACGGAGCCTGATGAATACGGAGCTTGATGAATAGTGTCTGAGGAATACGGAGTCTGATGAATACGGAGCTTGATGAATAGAGCCTGATGAGTACGGAGCCTGATGAATATGGATCTTGATGAATAGAGCCTGATGAGTACGGAGCCTGATGAATATGGATCTTGATGAATAGAGTCTGAGGAATACGGAGCCTGATGAATATGGAGCTTGATGAATAGAGTCTAATGAATATGGAGCCTGATGAATTCGGAGCTTGATGAATAGAGTCTGATGAATACAGAGTCTGATGAATACGAAGCTTGATGAATATAATCTGATGAATACGGAGCATGATTAATACGGAGCTTGATGAATAGAGTCTGAGGAATACGTAGTCTGATGAATACGGAGCCTGATGAATACGGAAATTGATGAATACAGAGTCTGATGAAGACTGAGTCTGATGAATACGAAGATTAACTTTATATGTATTATTAAACCCTTCAAAAGTATAGTCCACCAGCAATATTTGAAGTTTATTTTTTCTGATCATGGTAATTTCATTTTTTTTTCAAGTTCACCAGGTGTTTTAGGGAATTTTGCTGTTATTCCAGTTAATTTTTCATAATCATGAAGAACACTTCTGAGTGCTTCATCTTGACAAATTTGTATTGGTTTCAATGAGTCCTGGAAGAGCTTTAAATTTTCTTGAACCAATTTGTACTTTTGCTTTTGTTTAGTAATTCTTATATCAGCAATTTAATTTATCAAACGTTCCAAATCAACATTAGACTAATGATATTATTCCAGTAAGAACTTTATACTCTGCCATAATCTTCATTGCTTTATCATGTCGACGTGTCTTCGTCGATGGCATTTATATAATTACTTTCAAACAAAAATTACTTCAAAAGTGAAGATTTTATTATTTTTGTTTAAATTAAATTTAAAATTTGCTTAAATCATATACACAAAGTAATGCCATTCCCAATCGACTTGTATAGTTGCAAATGGTTGTTACAAGGCTTATATTTTTATAAATAGAATGATCGAAAACGAAAAAGACCAGACAAATGACTACATTTGAAACGCTATGGACTGCTATATAAGATATATTTCTTTTCATTAAATTAATTATAAATCTTTGCAGAAATTTCATTTTTTCGGTTACTTCAACATTTTTTTAAAACAAATTATTTTCTATTCTAAAGATGTTTTAAAAGTCCTAATAATTATCTAATTATCTTCGTTCGTTTTATTTTATTTGGCCATCAATAAATGTGGTCGTTTATTATATTAATATTATTTCAGTTATGTAATCATTACGAAATTTACATTTCTGTAAGCATTAAATGAACGTACAAATTCACCTGTAATAATTTTCTCTTATACTAATGCTACATCCAATTAAGACCACGTAGATTTCATGAGGATTATACATCTATGCATGGCTCGAATTTTGTGTATCACTTTATTTTTACTAATATTCTTACACTCAAAACATATACCAATACACGTTTGTGTTACGTGTAGTTTTAATACATGAGCTTGACATTAGAATCACATTAGATTTTACCTCCGTAAATCATTCTGGCATAAATCTAATTTACATTTTTAAGGCATTAATTCTCGTTGTTTAGTCTCGTTAGAAATAAACGAAATCTTCAATCTATTTTCGTTTATACAATATAATGTTTATAAGAAATTTGAAAACATTCAGTATTCAAATTCTTTACTCAAAATGAAAAATTGTTATTACAGTCGCCGAGGATCACGAAAATTTCAGATTGCAAAATATGCCATGAAATGTTTAAGAATTGGCATTTTTTGATAATTCAGATCATTCTTATGCGACGACGGATATTTGAGTGTTGTGTGACTTTTTATGACTGGTAATATCAATTTATGACTGTCAAGAACAATTCCAAACTAGATTTTACAAATTATTACTGATCACAGAGAGTATCTGACGGTGCTAGTTTCAAAATAAATCAAGTGGAATTAGAATTAAAGATTATTATGTGCTCTTGATTATATAATCGGCAATTAGAGGAGAAATTATAAATAATGACATGTTAGTGAAATGAGAGATGCTTATTAATATAATAGGTCAAGGTCAAGGTCAAGGTTATTCATTGTGAAATATTCACGCTAACACCCTTTATGAACCGACAATGCGTATCTGTCAAGGATTTTAGGTGGACATGAAACAAAATAATTAATTTGAAAAAGACAATCTAATATCTTGGAAAAGTGATGAAAATTTTGATGATATTCTAGAGGTTGATTTACAGGTACCGTGACGCGATATTTCGCGCCTACAAAATAAATGCCACGTGAATAAGAATCATAACCATCACTTAGGATAGTAAAAGTGGAGAAAAAAGAACAATAAAGTGTCCCTTGTGTGCACGTAAGAAACAGATTATTCACTTTATAACTTTTACGTTCTATATCATTTGGATTTAAAACTGAAGGTGATTATATGGGGTCAAGTTTTCTAAAAGACATTGTTTTCAGTGTCGTTAATAATTTTGTGCTCTGTTAAACAGATGAAAAGTGCACGCAAGAAAAAAAAAGGATAAAATATGAGCTGATGGAAATAAATTTCGCCGATACAATGAATACTCGTGACTTATAAGGAAATAGTCATATATAAACAACTATGTATATGTATATGTATGTATATATATATATATATATATATATATATATATACATACATATACATATATATATATATATATATATATATATATACACGTTATGTATTATTGTTGAGACAGGTGACATCCAAAGTGCCATAAATTATCCAGTTTTGCGACATAAGTGATTATAATAAAGATAATATATTCTGTATTATTAAAATAATATCAGTATCATTATTTTTTAAAGGTGAATTATGTAGGTTACACATAATAATAATGTATTTTTTCTAATTGTAGAAATATTCTCTCTTCCCATAGGACTGCCAAAGATGAACAGAAGGTTTGTAAAGAGATCAGTAAAAACTTTGTGAAAAGGTGATCTAAAATATAGCATGTATATTTATGTTCTTTCTACGACATTCCGGTATGAATTTAATTTAGACCGTATTGTTATGAGATTTGCGTTGTTATCGTAACAAACGTTATTTAGTTGGTAACACAAACGCATCTGCCATATTTTTACTCAGATCTTGTGATGCGATGTGATTCTGATTTTTAATGTAGCTTTAACAATTTCTAAGCCATATCGCTACGATGTCTGCAGTGTGGCAGTTTATAGTGATGTCTAGCACTGTGGCATTATGCCGCAGACATGTAGCATGATGTCCCACCCATTCACATTATCCTGACACCAGGCAGACTAGTCCTAACACTGACCTCCTTATTCTCAATGCCATGAGAGGCAGCTGTTAGTCCATTTTTGTACGTTTTTGGTATGACTCGACCGGGGATCGAACCCACGAGATCTTGCATCCGATGCGGACGCTCTTACCACTAGGCCACCGGAGCGGTGTCCCAGACATTGTACTCAAATGGATTGTTCAACATCGTTAAAAGTTCATTTATTTTGCTTTGTTTTACCTTTTCGAATATTTTTCTTCTCTCATAATTACTGGTAGCACATTGTTTTCTATAAAACGTTTTCTACCTGATGTCCTGACGTAGGTCATTATGACGTAATTGTATTTTTATACTATAACCATCCCACATAATAAATATCTAAAATCTGACTTGGCCACGTTAGTTACCTTCGTCTTCGCATTGTCTAAGTTCTCGTATTCGTCTGCTAGAAACAGCGCATTAATGCACTGGTAACGCTAGTAGGTAATTCTAACCGTTTGCTGATTTTGACGTTAGGATTTATCAAAATTTGACTGTAGTCTCTGAACAAAAAGAATTTATGCTGTAAGACTTCTTGTATAGAAATGTTGATCAAATGAAGACACCATAGCTCAAAAAGTAACTATATTCCGTTTCGGTCAAAATTATGTTTGTACACAATTTGCAGCATCATATATAACCATGCAATTAATTTATTTCATTATTTTGAAATATATCATTTATAACACATATTTTTTATTCCTTATTATTTTAATGTATTATTTTTAATACGTCATTTTAGTGATAATCTGATTTCAGATAAATACCGCTTCGTTGACCTAATGGTTAGAGCGTCCGCTCAGATAGGGAGGTCGTGGGTTCGAACCCCGACTGGGTCATACCAAAGACTTCTAATAATGATAGGTACTCTACATTGAGAGGTTAGTTTTAGGACTGGTCGGCCAGATGTCAGGATAATGGGACTGGGTGAGACATCATGCTGCATACCCCAGTTCTAGACATCACTATAAACGGTCACACTGCAGACATCGTTGCTATCTGACTGAAAAAGCTACGTTAAAGCTACGTTAAAAATCCAAATCACACACACACGCGAGCGCGCGCGTGCGCGTCAGATAAACAGATAAATATTATTTATTAACCAAAGAATATGTAATTTGAAAAATCGGTGTTGATTATTTTAATTTGATTTAGCCAGTTTTCAACTAAGTATCTGATAAAACACGAGATCTTTCTGAGTACAATAACAAATTCCATGGCATATATATATATATATATATATATATATATATATATATATATATATATATATATATATATATATATATATATATATATATATATATATATGTGTGTGTGTGTGTGTGTGTGTGTGTGTGTGTGTGTGTTTGTGTGTATGTGTGTGTGTCTATAGTAGGCACTCCAGAAAAAAAAAACAACAGCAGCTCTTGCAGCCATAACTCCAGAAAAAATACATTGATTACAAAGAATCAGTCATAAATTCATTTTTATTATCTTGTCTTTTGTTTTTGGTCTGTTGCGTTTTTAAAACTGCTTTCAAACCTGTTTAATTTGATGGAATTTATGTTTATAACTTCAGCTTTACGAATCAGTAATGTTAATGATAAAACGATAATATCTGAAAATAGCTTTTATTTTTAGCTTATCTTGCACTGGAAGAAGCTTTAGGGGGGGGTCTTTGATGTTTCTCTTCCATTTTGTTTAATTCCTTATCAGTTGCATTGTATTTATTTTGAAGCTGTGCTTTTATTATACGACTTCAAGAGGAAAGGACGATGCTGTATTTTCTGTGAAAATCAACACATTTTCAAGTTGCTTTTCATCCTTTGGCATTTATTTTGTTTTCTGTCTTCTCTTTAATTTTGATGATCTCAGTTAAATCAGACTTGTTGTTTTGGTAACGCTGGCAAAGAATCAGTGTAGCAATTACCTTCCTTTATCCATTTCAATAACATAAAAACGGCACCAATGGGTCTAACTAATTGTCATGTGTTTCGTCTTATAATTCTGAGAGTTACGGGGAACGAATTACAGATGAAAAAAAAAAGATTGACGATGGTCTTGATGGTAATTTATCAATCGAGGAATTTTGAACTACGACACAAACGTATCAATCTGCATCTTTTTGAATGATTAAAGCGAATTTCTTAAACAACAAAAGCTAATATAACTGATATACAATATTAATTGATTATGCCTTATTTAAAATTTGACATCAAAGTTGTATAATCGAATAGCAGCAAAACTCAAGCAATGATCTTAATGTTTAACACCATTTGATAAACCTCCAAGCAGACGTTTTCATTTTCTAGAACTTATATTGTATAAATCCATCCAGTAAGAGTTTCTAAGAAACGACAGACAATTGTGAAAAATTAACATTTAGCTAGCAAGTCACTAAGAAAGAATTAAATTAGAGCTCTTCCCCTGAGGGAGGGATGTTTTTATGCTAACACGAAAGACCATTATTAAGAGTTAGGTACATTGTGTAAGAGCTCCTGAATCAGTGAGAGAACATATGGAGTCAGACATGTATGACAAACATAGAGAAAATATAAGAAAGATATCACCATAGAAACAGATGCAACACATAAAGTAATATTGAAAGAATTGTTTGAAAATGTTTAAAAGTGCAAACAAAAACAGAGTTCGTGTGTAGCGTTAAAGACAACATTAAAAAGAAAATTTCCATCTGATAAAAAAAAATAATAAATCGCAATTGCTATGATATTACAACTAGATTTCATTGCATGAATTTTTGCAAATTTAAGCAAATTTTGCAAAATGTTAAGAGGAGCTGTTTGATGAACAAATATTGTGGTTGTGGCAACTCTAAAAGTAGTAGAGAGCCATTTGTAGAAAAAAGTTAAACAATCCATGAAAAATAATTTCAACAATTTGTTTGGAGCTTTCCAAGAAAAGAATAGCAGCATTATGTGGGATAATATATAAACTAACTTTTAGAACTGTTGGACAGGCGTTTCTATCTTTCCTCGTGTACTTTTGTTTATTATAACATTTATATTTTAAAATCTTCGCTACAAAACTGACTAGGTATCTTGACAAGAAAAATTAGAGTCGTGCAATTATAACTTTCGCCTAACATTATAGTTTGACTTTCCAAATGTACTAATGTACCATATGTATATGGGTGTGTGTGTGTGTGTGTGTGTGTGTGTGTGTGTGTGTCACGGTTGTAATATATGGGGGATTATTATTGTTGGGGTGGGATGCTCTGAACATTTTATTTGTTGTAGAAGTCCCAACCAGGCTAGAATTTGGTTGGGAGTTAAATTAGTGAAATATAGATGTAAAGCTCTGAGTCCCTAGTTAAATGGTTAAATAGACATAAAGGCTGAAATTCAATGAATAACAATTCAATAGTCAAACGATTGAAATTTCCAATTACACGTCTTCCGCTAGACCTTTTAATAGTCTATTGCATCACTTAATTGGCAGTTTGAGATCGATTTCCACCTGTCCTTGTATTCTACTTATCGGTGGTATTCTTCTCTCTCCTATTTATCCAAATTCATTCTCTTCTTCTTCCTCTCCGACTTTCTCCAAAATTACTTCTCCTCCTCCTCAACTTTTCTGTACTCCTCCTCCTCCACTTTCTCCTCCAGACTCCTTTTCCTCCTCCTCCACCTTCTCCTCACCGACTAGACTTCTGTCGACTTAGATTGTTCGACTCGGGACTCAATTAAACCGAAAGTTTTCTGTCTCCTAAAAAGCGGTGGAAACACAAGGACGGTACATTATTTTTTCTTAGCCCTCTCATCTCACACTACACATAGCCGATCATCAAATAACGACAATTAAATTTATTCGGTCACGCATTCATTCACATCGAGATACCCATACCCAAACGTCATAATACAGCACGGTATCAATTACTACCTATTCGTATATCAATAAAATCTGTCACATCAGTACATATTCCTAATCCCGTTACACTATGCAATATCGCAATAATCAGACGCATTTATTTATCTTACAATCATACAAAGTACACAAATAGTCAAATATCCATGCTCTGAGATAAGCATACATCCATGATAACCATTTTTACATACTTCAACCATTTTTCAAATTCACAATTCAAGTATGTGTACATTTTCTACATAACGCATTAATAAATGTACTGGTTTACTACAAAGTAACCTATCAGCGAATTACGAAATTAATTCTGACTACAAGCTAACAATCTACATAAATCTCTACGTAATACTCAAGCCTATTTCTCAAATATGCATGTAAATGAAACACTAGAAAGGTAATTCTACATACTAATCGATGCTACTAATTAAGTATACATACTACAAATAAATATAAGTATGATGCCATATTATTCTGCAAAAGCGAGCAAATAGCTGACCTTTTCGAAGCTTTGTCTTTCCGTAGAATGTACCTCTAAGTTTTATCGCCAAGTTACAAGTCTCTATCGGAGCAATCCTATTGCTCGAAAAGTCTGTTTAGGTAAAAGTAAATCTTTTTTCTTAGAGTTCTGGCAATTATAAATCGGTCTGCATGGTAATCACACCCTCTATCTAAATTCCGATTGGATATCGCTGTGGTCCGATCAAATCAAACTTAGCGGACAATGTCAATCTCGTGTCTGTTAATATGGGAACGAATGAGCAAACGCTCCGCTCACCCCGCAGTTATCACTTTGAACTGTACCACATAGGTGTGAAATGGTGCGATGTATCGCCTGAGCCTATTCAAGATTCAGGGTCTTCGGTCGGTCATGCAACCTTGCGTAAGAAATTAACATTAGCCCGGCGGCAATGTTTATGGATCAAACACAATGCTGCAGTAATATTATTGCTTATGCATGACTTTATAGCTGGGACTTAGCAACGTGACGCCATATATATATATATATATATATATATATATATATATATATATATATATATATATATATATATATATATATATATATATATATATATATATATATATATATATATATATATATATATATATATAATCAGTGTTAGTGACAACACTATTAACTTCAGTTGTTGTCTTTGGGTTAGTTTTTCATCACAAGATAGGCTATACATGGCGGCCAGTATAAATGGTGGAGGAAAAACCAGGGAAAACTCCAGAAAGAACCACTGACGCACGAGAAGCTACTG